TTTTAATCAATAATATAGTATTGATGGGACTAGTCTAAGACATTATCTAGACATATTAACTAGACTGGAAATATTAATAAAATCCTATGTATATTTTAAGAAACAAACATTTATGAGCAACAAATTCAATTTAAAATAGTGTATTACTGACACATTTATTGTATTACCTCAAAAAATATAGTTAGAACATAGTTTATTTAATAACATGTTTTAACCTTTTCAACGCCGCAGGTGCAGAAAATTATAGACGCAAAGTGGTTAAATATTTTAACATAAATATGTAACACACAAATATGTCACGGTATAAAAATATTGACGTATGTTTAAGCTAAAATATATTTGAAATGTACTCTATTATTTTATATGAAGGCCTTTAATTATTTATTGATTTGTTAATTTATGTAATATTAGAAAATTAATGTATTAATCACAAAAACGATATTTATTATAAGGCTGAAGGGGGATAAAGATAGGGAGATAATGATGACGGTGATATGTAAATGACAATTGATGCAACTTGTACATGACACTTAATTTTATAATTTACTAGCTGTCGCCCGCGACTCCGTCCGCGTGTTTGACTTAAAAATAAAAATTTAGGGGTGGATTACCTTTAACATTTAGGGGGAAGAAAAATAGATGTTGGCCTATTCTCAGACCTACTCAATATGCTCACAAAATTTCATGAGAATCGGTCAAGCCGTTTCGGAGGAGTATGGGAACGAAAATGGTGACACGAGAATTTTATATATAAGAAGATATAGGTTGTTGTGTTTATAAAGGTGGATATACACTAGTGCAGGGATGGTAAAAACAATATAGTAACTTGTAACCCTGCCGTTCAGAAGATTCCAAACATTGTAAACAAAGAGCAAATGTTACCTCGCAAAGTATAAAAATATAAATTTTCTTATTTATAAATGCATAGCAATATAGACGGAGTATTTCTTAAATAAATTATTTTATATGAGAATTAAATGAAGATGTACTGATTCTGTAAAAAAAATTAACAACTTTAAAAATATGTTCCTTCGCAAAACACTTAAGATTCAGTGGTACAAAAATACAATGAATTATAATAAACGTATAAATATTTTTATTGTTTGAAATAAAAAAAATTGTTAAAGGAATAATAATAAGGAAAACAATCGGTCGTATTTTTTATTTCAAGGCTCTTTTCTGAAGATTTATTTTTCATGTATCTCCCTGGTTTGAGACGCCTGTTGAATTTTATTAGCAATACCGATGTTAAAACGGAAAATAAAAACGTTTCAAAATGCCTTTAAAAATTTAAAAGCAAATATACTAATAAGATTATTTGCTCAGTTTTCGTTGCATGAACAACCCTAAGCTATCAGAGGAGATGTAAAAGGTTACAAGACATTAGCGTAAAATAGAGGTGAGAACATGCTTCCTTTTTTTAATCCTTTATCCAATAATTATCTATGATCCTGTTAACAGAACTATTCATGGTTCTCATAATTGTTTTTATGTAAACCACTGTTAGACCCTTTTCCCACTAAAATAAGTACGTACTTTTTAGTACAAAAAATCACAGATCAATCAGATTAAACACAATTTTTTAATTACATAATTTTTACAACTAAAATGGTACTAACATTTTTAACAACCTTAAAACTTTTAGCCAACCCGATTTCATGTTCTACGGCCTTCGCACAAAACATCTCTGTCAAGTTTACCATGACCTACGTAATTTATACAGTCAGCATAAAAAGCATGTTTTTATGATAGTTGCATAAGAAAAAATAATACAATAAACAATGCCAAAAATTAAAAAAAAAGTTATTAAAATGTGTAAATAAGGAATATTCAAATTAAAAAGTCACCTTGGATACATAATGTAAACAAGTATGACCGGGTAAAGGAATGAGATTTGAACAGCAAAAACTATACATCCGATTAGTTTCATCGAGTCATTGACCTGCGATAACAACGGTGAAGTTACAAAAACCTTTTGCTTTTAAAAACTTTAGTTCTTAGGTTGGAATGCTGTTGTTTTTTACGTCATAAGGTGGAAACGAGCAAGCGGCTATCTGAAATCAATGAAATAGCGAAGCGATCGTTGCCCATAGACACAATTGCAGATGAATTGCCTACCTTTAATCAACGAAGGAAGAGATGCACAGAAAGAGAATATTTTCTCTTCCCATGCATCCACCCCTGCGGAAAATTCACTTCCACTTCCCTTATAAGAAAGAGGATGGGAAGAGAAAGACGACTATAAGCCCCCAGGACGCACAGTCATCAGACGTAACGCGGGATTACTTCCACTGTTTTCCAACTGGCCAATTCGTGCGGAGATATTAAAGCAGGCTCTACCGCTGTTAAAAGTTCACAGTATTTTTGGTACAAAAGTCCGTGAAAGAAAAGATCTTATTTTGAGATATTTAAATGTTACAAATGTTTTATATTTATACAAAGCGATACAGTGTAACATTTAGACATGATAAAAATCAAGTGCGAAATGAGCACAAGACCGTTTCGACCAATCTTTCATTGCCAGCTGCAAATTAAAAATACAGAAAATGTCACCAAATCACAAAAACATTTATTTTTTTTATACCATAGGGTCACGCTTAAGCGGCCACCTTAATTCGCCAAATTGGTGAAGCGACCGCTGCACATAAACATTTGCAATTGCAGATGCATTGCCTGCATTTAATCGACGAAGGAGGACGCACAGTAAGAGAATATTTCCTCTTACTATGCGCCCCGTTCTCTATCAAATCCAATTCCCCTTCCTATCGTTTCCTTACAAGAAATAAGTGGAAAGGGACAGAGAACTAAAATTAGGTTACCGGAAACCTCGCCTATCGTATACATTAAGTCGTATACGTGAAGTGTGCCCCGAATTTAGGACTAGAATTATTAATAAAATTGTCAATTGAAGCATGTTGCCATGTTACCTTGTACTAAGGCCGACTTGTTTTGGTATCTATGCACTTTATATTACCAAAGCAATTACTTGAAAAAATAATGTTTCATTTGCAATAATTTCTAGAATATTCCGCGATAAGTATTGGACAAAGTAAATATATTCCGTCCTTCGGAGAATCATTAGGGCATTGATATTAATCGAGAACAAAAAGCGCAAAAAGCTGGGGAGTGTATTTTAAAAACCAGTCTAACAAGTATTATGCTAATTGATAATTTGGACACAATGTAATATAACTTTAAAATTAAAGATTACGATATTAATTTCATGTCTTTGTTATGCTCTATTCTGAAATAGGTTGAAATGTTTTCTAACAGGTATAACCCTTATAATAGCGCCGCTCTCGCTAAACAAGTCTTACTATGGAGGCATTTGATGCTATCATCAGCTCATTATACGTCCCCACTGAAGGGCTCGGAGCCTACCCTAAGTTAAGAGTGAGTAGGCCATAGTCAACCACGCTGGCCCAATGCAGGTTGGTAGACTTCACACATATCTTTAAATTTCTTCTTAGATATGTGCAGGTTGCATCACGATGTTTTCCTTCACCGTAAGGATCGGATATACATATGTAAATCGGAAATCGAAAAACACATCGGTACATGACATTGGGATTCGAACCCAGGACCTGCAGATTGCAAGTCAAGAGACCCCTGAGCCACCGACGCTCTCATTGATGCTATACGACTTTGGAATCACCAAATGTGCTTATTTCAGTTAGTTTACTCTATATATAGACAAATATAAAGATGAATTATTCGTATTTTAACTCAACTGATTTTGAAAATTCTTGACCCCATTAAAATGCTACATTATTCATATGTAACATAAGCTCTATTTAATCTTACTAATAGTATAAATGATTGGATGCATGTATGAATGATTCTTAAAAGGTATCTCCGGAACGGCTCAACGGATCTTTATGAAATTTGGTACACACGTGGAATACAATCTGGAATTACATAGGGTACTAATTAAGTTTTTTTATATAGGAGTAAGGGGCAAACGAGCAAAGAATCGCCTAATATTATTTGATCCGACGCCCATGGACATCCGCAACGAAAAACTGCAGTTGCGTTACCGGCCTTCAAGAAAGGTGTACGCTCTTTTCTTAAGTTTTTTCTAATTCCACGCAAAGAGAGTTACAGGCTTGTTGTTTATAAATAATTAACGGACCACTAGTAAGTAATAAGATATGAAAAACAAGGTGGTATTTTACTATAAGCTTTGTACTAGCGTATGATAGTTTATAATAAATATCTTCCTTAGTAGATAATAATATTATCATACAACATAAATATTAATATAAAATAAAACATATATGACATAAAATATGAGACACATTTATCTCTGAACCACGCAAAAGCTTTGTCAAAAAAAACTTCAAAGTAATTTTTTGCATGTCATTAATAAATAGCTGAAAACCATATTAAATAATGTCTAGAATTAGCTAAAGTTATCAAAATCATTATTTAAGCTAAAGATAAAATATTTTTTTTTATTTCTGTTTACATTTCATAAATTATTTCCAAATGGGAGGAAACAATTATAATCCATTGGCGGTCATGACTTTATAATTGCAGAAAAAAATAGCCACATACGTAAGCTACTTAATGAAAATCCGAACAAAATCAGTGCAACCATTTCGGTGATTTCCCGAATCAAATCGGGACTTGCGTGCTTGTTTTTCGTAAAGTAAAAGATAAAGCAAAACATCACATCACGAACATGAAATATGAATTATTTTTTCCATATTACAAACAGACAATCCAATTTTATTAACATGCTTAAGTTAACAGCTTAGCTAAGTAATGGGATTGAGTAAATCACAAATCACACATTGACATGTTTAATTTGACAAAAAAAAAATACATTCCTATAAACTATACGCAATTATTTAATTTAAGAAAAACATAAAAAAAATAATATTGGAAAATAACTTAAAAAAAAAATTATAAAAAAAAATTATGCACCCTGGACTCATTTCGCTTGAAATTCCTCCCTCATATCAAGTATAAAATCTTGGCACTCGAGTATTTATCTGCAGGTTTGCTGAACTGTGTACCACAGTGAGAAACGCTGCCGACCAAGACGCAGGTCCATTCAACAATGATTAATCTCTAAAGACTAAAAAATAAGTTGACCATACTTTCAAAATGTTTTTCAAATTATTTATAGTGCTTTCAATTGTTTCAAGAACACATTTAACCAGTTCTGACGAAGTTATAGTGGAAACTGTGGATGGTGACGAAGAAAATAACGTTGAAAATATATATAATGAAAATATTGCACCTGTTGAAGTTGTAAGAACAGTCACAAGGAATAATTATGAAAATCCTATAAATTATAAGAATATATATGGAAGACAGGAACGTTCACAATATAACAATCCTTTCATGGAATTAATTGCCAATGTCATCGGGACTCAATCTGGCTACAAAGAATCAGATTTCTTTGCCTTTCTACGGGATGAATATCCATTGCCCAGAGGTAAGCTAATTCAGTTACTTTAGCTAGAATAAAAAACAAAACACTTTTAAGGCTATAACTTTGGTTAAAGAGTATGTAAAGGTGGGATCGTGGTCAAGCGCTAACTTTTTAAATAAAAAAAGAAACAAAAGACAACTCAATATTCCCAATTTACTGCTGAAAAAATTAAATTAGTCTTTTCAGCATGAGCTTTCGATCTGTTTGCATATCCTGAGAGAGCTTAGCATAGGAACCAGGATCTATTTTTGTAATGCAATAAAAATATTTTGTTAACATCCAAGTGCATTACTTAAAGTTTTTTAACAATTAGTTAAACAATCCCTTAGTGTAGATTTTAATTTAGTGCATTAATTTAAAAACCCTTAAAAGTTTTTGTTTACATAGGCTAAACCTTACAGTTTTTAACGGCGTTAAGTTTAGCAAGTCTCAAAAGTCCTACAAAAAAGTCACTGACCACTTTTTGCTTAAAAAAAAACAATTATAAATCACACTGTTATTTGCAGCGTTATTTGTTTTTAATATTAATTCTTATGCAAATAAATGTCTTCGTTATCAGAATTTATTGTTCATTAAAATTGGCTTTTACATATAAATAAATAGTTAAAAAAATCAGCTCGTGTTTAGCGTAAAGCCGAGGCGAATAGCTAGTTTGTTATATTTTCGCTAACCGGTATTTTAATAGACCCTCTACGAATTATTAAATAACAGTATAATTTCATTTCCATTTTAAAGAGCCTGTAATCGGACATTGACCGAACAAATATACAGCTAGTAAGTATCACTGATGCGTCACTGGTATTAACTCCTTCGCATTTTCTTCTCTTTTTTTTTGAAGAGAACAAACAACAAACGTGTCAGCAATCAAAATCCACAGAATTTAGAACAAACTTAATGTTTGTATGTATTAATTTTAGAATGCAGTTAATCAAAACAGGTTCTAGTCTTGTATATATCGCTGTTATTGCACTCTGTGCTGCCAGGGTTGGCTTATTTTTACGTAAACAAGACGCAGAATTTCATTAAATTTGTAAAATGTATAAGAAAATGTAATTTATTATTCATAAATATTCTTTTGTTCTGTCACTCGAGAACACACCAATTTTCATTCGCTTTTATATCTTATTACATGCGATTCAACACATATGCTTTTAAAAACTTACTCACGCATAAAATTTTTAAAGGAATTGTAGCATCATTTCGCTGAGAGTTCATTTGCCGAACCGGCAACTTCATGCTAATTATAAAGCTGAGCATTTTATCTATATCAAGAACCGGCATACATCTTAGTTACTTTTAATTAATGAAACCTGTTTTACACTTAATGATATAAAGGAATTCAGTCAAAGTCTTTAAAGATTTTTAATTGATGAGGTCATTGAAATCATTGGCGTCGCCAAGGGTTACAGAGGGGGCATGATTAGAACAAGCCAAAAGCAACTACGACAAACATTATACGCGACTTGAATTATCAACCTTCGTGATGCCTTAATAAATAACACTTCCTTTAATTTGCTTACGTGCCACCTTGACACGAAAGGCTTATGGTAATGCTCAAACGAAATAACTCACCAAAACAAAACACTTGTGGTTTTCCTTTAGCCTAATCCTGAATATACCAAGACAACAGACTAACAAATAGATTGATATTTTATAGCTGAGAGAAAAGTCCACTTTTTATTTAGCATGAGAAATGTTTTTCAACGATACTGTCTAGAACTATACATTACCAGAAGCAAAGGCATACAACTACTCATTTACAACCAGCCGAAAGACAATATTTCAGGATTATTCTTAGAACTCCAACGTAAATATCTATAGTCCTGTCAAAGGAATTAACAAGGAGGTTGTCACTGCTTTATCATCATTTCATCATCAGCTCACTATAGGTCCCCACCGAGGGGCTCGGAGCTTACCCTAAGGATTAGGCCATAGTCAATCACGCTGGCCTAGTGCGGGTTCGTTGACTTCACACATATCTTTGAATTTCTTCTCAGATATGTGCAGGTTGCATCACGATGTTTTCCTTCACCGTAAGAACGTCGGACAAATGTACATATGTAAATCGGAAATCGAAAAACACATTGGTACATGGCGGGATTTGAACCCAGGAACTGCAGATTGCAAGTCAAGTGCTTGACCCTTGAGACACCGACGCTCCCACTGCTTTATGGAATCTTTTAATTCCCAGGTCTACAATCTCCTCTGCCAGAGTATGACTTCGTAATAGTCGGCGCTGGATCCGCTGGATGCGCGTTAGCATCACGTCTGACTGAGAATCGAAATGTCACAGTTCTACTGATAGAGACTGGCAAGCCAGAGATGCTGCTAACTGACGTGCCAGCTATCGCACCCTACTTCCAGTCAACTCCATACGTCTGGCATTACTACATGGAACCACAGCCTGGAGTTTGTTTAGGTAAATTTAATTTACTTTAAGATAAGTAATTTATTTAAAAACCCTCCAGTATACCCCAGCAATACTCGAAAAATTACGACACCACATTCATTTAAATAAGTGCAGGTAAGATAAGGTTTCGGAAAACACAATGGAACCAAACATATTTCTTAACTGTCAGTGATGACTTTATTTACTATTTTTTTATTATGAAAATGAATCTAACAAACAAAAGCAAACATTTTGACATACATAAAGGATATGTGTGCATTTACAAACATAACCTTGAATTTAAAAATATTAACAAAATAAAGGTCTTGGGAAAACAACCACATTGCAGAAATTATCTTTACCTAGAAACAATTAAAACGCGATCAAAAAAATCATAATTATTCGATGGAAGTAGCAAAAAAAGTGCTCGGACTTGTTTTCGGATTAACCAGAGTAGGGTAATGTTTTCGTGTGTATGTTAGTCCATGTATCCATTTCATTCCTTTGTTTTTTTTTACTATACCATTACAAATTTACTATACCATTCAGGTTTATGTAACCTAAATGGTATAGTAAATTTTGGGTAGTAACATTCGCTAGTTCCACGACGTAACATAAAACAGTCAGTCGGATTTATATTTAAAATTTAACTCTTACTTCTTTCTAGGTATGGAAAATGGTAGATGTTTCTGGCCTCGAGGCAACGCAGTCGGAGGATCGAGTGTGATCAACTACATGATTTATACACGAGGCAGACCTGAGGAATGGGATAGAATAGCTGCCGCTGGGAACTATGGCTGGTAAATTACATGTAATCCCCGATGAGAAAAATGACCGTTGTTACTGCAGCTATTAAAGTAACGTCCTGGTGTTTATCTAACTTCAAAGACCAAACGACTTTGCAAAAATACAGTCGTGATAACTTTAATCTTACTAATATTATTAATGCGAATGTTTACATGGATGTATGTTTGTTTGTTTGAAGGTATCTCCGAAACGAATTTATAGATCCCGCTGAAATTTGGTATAGATGTAGAATATAGTCTAGAAGAACACATAGGCTACTCATTAAGTTTTTTTATTAATTCCGCGCGGACTGACTGGCGGGCGACTGCTAATATCAAAATAAATTTATTATCGAATAAAAAACCATGAATGCGGAAACGTGAGGTTAATCATGGAGTTCATTGCACTAAAATTGCTGGTTTTAAAATTCGCTAAATGCGCAGAATCGTAAGCGGTTGTTTTTGTATTCATCGTCAATATTCTTTTCAATTAAATTGGTTATAAAGCTGCAATTACTACCTATCGGAATGTAATGAAGGCGAACATCATGTGAAAACCTGTTTGTTTTAAAAATTAATGATGTGCTCACCTAGCTGAAGCCAAACTTGTATCTTTTATTTTTGTGTTTACTACTATTTTAACAGTTCAGGTCGATGTCCATTAAATTAATTCTTAGACATTTGAATATAAACTTTCCTACGTTAACAATTCCGTTTGCTAAATGTGTGTCGATGGTATGAACGAGTTTTATTAAATTCGATACAAATCTTTTACAATACTTTAAACTTTAAGTATTAAGACAATGATTGTTATCGCCAATTGAAGCGCCAATAGCCTAATGGTAAAGGGTAATCCCACCATTCGACTATTGTCTTAAACCATGTCTAGCACAAGCATAGAGCCTAGTTGGATTGGTACAAGAAATATTAGTAAATCAAACAAAAATCTGCCAATACTTAAAAAAAATCATTATAGTTTTATCATTAAACTATCAATAGCTAATGCTTCTGATCATAGTCGAATCCCAGATTCCCTGAATCGTTTCTTACGCGAAACTTCGTAAGGATTTTTTTTTTATTTTGTTGTTTGCAGGTCATACAACGAAGTTCTGGAATACTACAAAAAATCAGAGAAGGCCAAGTTAGACGGGTTCGAAAAAAAGCCTTACAGAAATCGAGATGGAGTCCTTCCTGTTGAATTTGTGCCAATAAAGTGAGTACATATTTATTTCTCACTTCAACGGCGCGGTTGTAAGGTTCGATTCCTAATGTGCATTATGGATCATTGAACTCTTGGAGATAGATAAGTTAAGCAAATTGACATACATGACAATATTTAAAAAAACATTGACTGCTTGAGTACTCTGATTTCTACTATTTTTTGGATAAAATATTGCAATAGTCAACCTACAAACAAGTTTAATAAAAATCTTACATACTTTTATTACAGAACCAAATTAATAAAGGCGTTCTTAGACGCTGGAAGAATACTTGGACATCCAACAGTAGATTACAACGCTCCAGAGAAAATGGGATTCGGGAAAGTCCAAGTGACAATGTCTATGGGCCGCAGATTCAGTTCCGCTAAAGCATTCCTACATAACCATAAAAAGAGACCAAATTTGCACATTTTACCAGAAACCAGAGCAACCAAAGTATTGATAGATCCTCAAACGAAAACGGCGTACGGTGTTGAATATGTACGCAACAACGTATTGCATAGAGTCACGGTTCGGAAAGAAGTAATTTTGTCTGCTGGACCTATCGCATCTCCACAACTATTAATGTTATCAGGCCTAGGACCTAGGGATCATTTAAACTCAGTCGGGATAAACGTAATCCAAGATCTTCCAGTAGGTAAAAGACTTTACGATCACATTTGTTTCCCCGGACTCATTTTTACTGTGAATGAAACAAATATTAGCTTCCTCGAATCTCAAGCTTCTGATATTCATGCAATAGTACAGTGGCTTAAAAATGGAGACAGTGCAATATCATCACCAGGCGGGGTAGAAGGAATTGGATATATTAAAACACCAGTTTCCGATGATCCTGAATTAGTTCCTGACATTGAACTTATTAGTATAGGAGGTTCAATAGTGTCAGATGGAGGACCAGGTGGCAGTAAAGCTGTACGAAAAGGAATGAGAATAACCGATAATATTTTTAATAATGCATTTGGACCGATAGACCAAACAAATACTTGGAGCGCTTTTCCAATGTTATTAAAACCAAAATCTTTCGGTTCTATAGAATTAAAAGACAATAATCCTTTCAGTCATCCAAAGATGTATGGTAATTATTTAACTGATCCACGGGACGTGGCGACATTCGTAGCAGCTATCCGACATATTCAAGAATTGACAGAGACTGAACCATTCCAAAAATATGGTACTAAATTGTATCCTGCGATTTATCCAACTTGTAGTTCTTTACAATTTAATTCTGATGAATACTGGGAATGTGCAGTAAGAACTCTTACTGCAACACTGCATCATCAGGTTGCGACTACTCGTATGGGACCGCAAACCGATCCCTTAGCTGTGGTAGACCCTGAATTAAGGGTGCACGGTATAAAAAGATTACGAGTAGTCGATACTGGAATAATACCAGAACCTATCTCCGCTCATACAAACGCCCCAGGTATAATGATAGGTGAAAAAGCTGCCGACATGATAAAACTAACTTGGAGTATTTAATATTAAACAAACTTAATTCAGAAATGTGCTTTAATTTATATTTTTCATATTAAATGTAAGATAAAAAAAGAAAATCATTGTTTTTATTTTTATTATACTCGTAACATAACTCCTAAACGAAAGATGGTCGCCATTTAAACTTTTTTTTTTTAATTTTATGAGAAATAAACAGTGCAATTTACAGAACGATCACTTATTGCCGGCTTACTACAATAAAGTCGTTTGCAGCCTGTACACAGAGTCTTTTATAATGTACGTTAAGTTTCTACTAATAATATTTAATTAAATCCTCGTTTAAAAAGTTTCAAAGAACATTTTGAATTTCATACGAAAAAGATTTGAACAAATTCAATTCAAAAAAATTGCTATTGAAATTTATCAGGCATTCCATATAAATATATTATTAACGTAGCAAAAGCAACATAATTGGTAATAATTGTATTAAAAACAAACAAGGATCCAAAAATCTTTAAGAAAAAACTACAACGCAAGCTGCGTAAACATTAATCTTTGAGCCGGTTCTACTGACGGGTGTATTTTTAAAATTCCTGCGGGCAACGTCCTTAAACGCAATAAAGATAAAATCCTTAAGTTACCTTATTAAGATTTTACACACGTTTACTGGATGCTTGTTTACTTATCATATTTCCACCATGCTTTTTATTATTTCTTAAACTTTTGAATGCCTTTTAATACATCACATACAAATTGTAAAGTGAAGTTTATAAAAAATTCAATAAATTTGGTGTAAATTTATTACGACTGTAAACAACATCGCGTATACTTTAAGCTATTTAAAACCACATTCACTACAACTTTTTATAAATAAACTTTTTATCTATAAAAATAAAATTGAAGTGTCATATTTTATTACCATTTTTGTCTGTCTACCTATCTGTCTGTTTGTTTGTTCATGCTAATCTCTGAAATGGCTGGACCGATTTTGACGGAACTTTATTGGCATGTAGCTTATGTAATAAGGCGTAACTTAGGCTACATTTATTTTACAAAAATTCTTTTATTTAAGAAACCTACAGTAATGTTGCAATGTCCAAGTACTGTTCAGTACCGCGCGCAGCCCGAAAGACAATATTTTACGCGAACGAAGTCGCAAGCACAGCTAGTATAAAATACAATTTATTTGCTAAGCTTGTTACTTTAAGTTACATTTTTAAGTAACTTACAGATGGTCGCACTGTTAATTAATTTCAACGGCTTAAATACGATGTAAAAAAAAGTTAAACCGGTCGACGAATAACTTTGGTATGGTAAAATACAATACATATTGCAAGGAATCTTTTAGATGGAGCACACATTTAAATAAGAATTGACTCGGTGTAGTCCTTTTCTTTGGTGATTAAAATAATATAATAGTGATTTAGTTATTACTTTGGGCAGTTCATGGTGTTTAAGTCACTAAAAATATACCTAAAAACACGTACTGATTATTCGTATAATAAAATGAATTATCGTGTTCTGAGTGAAATCTAAAAATTATTTCAAAATGTTACTAAATAAACTCATAATAATATTAATATTAAATAGTGTACTGGCTGAAAACAATAATACTAAATATGAAAACAAAGAAACTATATTAGAAGAAAATATTTACGCTAGTTCACGACCATGTGATGAATTCTGTGAAACTACAAGCAGGAATGGCAGAGAGATACGAGGAAGGCCTAAGAGTCAAATTTTGGATGCAATGTTACAAACACCTATGCTACAAATGTATGCAAATGAACCGGATATTTTTTCAATACTTCGGGATAGTTACGATCTCCCTAAAGGCAAGTATTATTTTTATTAGTTATACTTAATATCATCAGTGTAAGTCTAAGTTTACATTTCGAAGGCCTTTCCCAATCCCTTCCAGAGTACGCGCTCTTCCGCTGATATCTTAAATAGATGTTATAATATTATTATTAATTTACTATTAGTCAAAAATCTATAAAAGGCTTGTGCTAGTATAGTCTCATGATAGTGGAATAGCAGGGTTCGACTCCCGACCGGATGTTCGTGAATCCGTCACTTTAACCATTTAACTATTGACATTAAAGGATCTGAATTAAATGTTCAAATTAAGTTTTTTATATTGTCAAAATCATAGTTACAAGATGTAATCATTCAGTGCTGAACAGAATAAACAAAGAAAGAACAATATTAAAACTTAGTAAACAGGAGAGGAAAGATGTTGGGAGGTATGACAAGAGGACCTTATAACCACAATAATAAAGGAAAAATAGAAATTAAGTTCACTGAGCTGATGGCCAACCTTCATTAAATGGAGAGTCACCTAGAGAGAGAGAGAGAGAAATGAAGTGATCATCAAGAACACACATGCAAAAGATGAAGTAGAAAGTGTACGTTATGTTACATGTCAAAGCAAGAGAAATTATCAGTCCTCCCTCTCTTATACTATCCATGAGAAAGGGAGGACTGAAAATATCTCCATCAACAAGCACGACATAGTTCTTAAATTTCCAACAAAAGTTACGATGTAGGTTATAAGTTGCTATATCCGTATACTTAATAAAAATAAATAAATAATGTAAGATTTTATAGTTTACATTACGTAAATTACATAAGACGATGTAATTTGAATACATACATACAAGGAACTTGAAATACGAAGGTTCAATGACACGACATTGGTACATTATTACAGAATCCAAAAAAAGTTTAATGACTCACAAGGCAACGGTACATATTAAATTTAACTGTCTTTCTTGTTCTTGTCCAAATTATAACTATCATTTTTTTTATAAACTACTACCTGTTGCCCGCGACTCCGTCCGCGTGGAATGAAAAAAAAATTAGTTCCCGGCAATTATTCGAAATTTAATCACCTTTTAAACCTTCCCTAGACGTCTACGAACATTTCAAAACCAAGATAAGGTAAATCCGTTCAGCCGTTCTCGAGTTTTAGCGAAACTAACGAACAACAATTGATTTCTATATATAGAAGATTCGAATGTTTCATTGACTCTCATATCTTTATTATAAAAGAATGCTTTGATGCGATTTACTGAATATGCTAGAAATAGGACACGCGTAATTAAATTTATGACGAGGTCATCCTGAAATTAAAATATATTTTTATACACTTATACGTAAATATCGGGTTCGTTGTTAATAAAATATATTTTATATTTGTAACAAGAAATGTTAGTTATAAAACTTATTTTAAATAAGGTGTTGATGATGTAGTTAGTTTAAATATGTTTGAAATGCAACTTCTGTAATTGCCTCGTAATAATCATTTAAAAATGTCACGTAACCAAAACAATGATACAGCCGCACCCGGAACACCTTGACGTTATGAAGTCGTGTTGTAATAATAATAATAATGGTCAACGCTCATTACCCACTTACCGCCTTGCTGCAGTAAGAACCCGCGTGTCATCCGTTGACAATGGGTGACAGCCGCGGCAAGTTTGTTCGGGTCTTAAACCCTAATATGATGTAATGCCGATATCTCTACCATAAAAGATGTTATCCGTAATTAATGCTTATTTGCATAACTTTCAGGATTCAATGGACCCTTAGCTGAATATGACTTTATCGTCGTCGGAGCAGGATCGGCAGGGAGCGTGCTCGCTTCCCGACTTAGTGCGCGGAAGAAGGCGACTGTCTTACTCTTAGAGGCTGGTGTAGGTGAATCAATATTGACAGGGGTACCAGTCTTAGCGCCATTGTTCCAACAGACGGATTACGTATGGCCATACCTCATGGAACGCCAGCCAGGAGTTTGTATGGGTAAGTTACGAGAATACTTATGTCTGAACATTCCTGATACTAAGAAGATAATACGTGTTAATATTTCCTGTTAAATGTCTAGTTAATAGGAAAATATGCTCTTTTAAATATCTTCATTACCCAGTAATTACAATAATAGCTCAATTAAATATATGCCTCATAAATTGTATCCTTCCGTGTTCGCTATTTTTATTTACATCTCTAACAGAGTATACTTTTAAAGTTTGTTGATGCAATTCAAATTATAGTGAAACAATAGTTCCAATAATACGCTTAACAAAAAATGTTAAGGAAGCGAGTTAATAATTAGTACGTAAAACAACATTCTTCGCGCGCGCTGGTCGCGTGTCGACGTACTAATAGTAATCTTACAACTTCGCCCTACGGCACAGTGTATTTAACAAAATATTCAAAATGATCGGATCACCGAAAACTTCTTCAACTCCGGAGTTGTCTATACCGTCTACCTTAGTAGAAAACATGCAAGCAAAAAGCTTTCATGACAAAAAATTACATCTCTTAAGAGATCTGAAGAGACACTCTTTTAGTCAGACGGGTCGATGCTTGTGGACGTCTATGGGCGTCGTACTTAATATTTGGAAATGCTCAAAAGAGCACGTTCACGTTGACACGAAACAAAAGAGTTGCCTCATGGTCGAAAGATGGGTGAAATATTTAAGGTATTAATTTTTCAGGTATGGAAAATGAGCGTTGTTTCTGGCCAAGAGGCAAGGCAGTTGGGGGCACGAGCGTAGTGAATTACATGATATATGCCCGTGGGTTACCTGAAGATTGGGATAGAATCGCAGCCGCGGGAAATTATGGATGGTCGGTATTAAATGTACAAAAAAATTGCACAACCTAAATTAAATATTATTAGTTATTCGCACCTTCATTCATTGGAACCTAATCTATATAGCCTTAATATACATACTTAATTTAAGTAATAAAAGCCTGAAAATAAAATGAGTATAAAATTAAAATATGATAAAATGTCAAGACTTCTTTTTTTTTAGACATTATTAGTTAGAATCCTTTGGCGCGAATGGCGCAATTTCATTACAGCATCAAGTGTCAGAATGATTAGTGAGGGGACATAAACGTCGACATTTTAGTAAGACTAGTGTTGCGCCAGTACACCCGTACAGTGTTGGATTTTCTTCCTAACACTTTATTATATATTAGAATTTTACTCTTATTATCAATAAATGACGAAGATGATCTTCGTCATATGATATCTTTATCAGATATCTATTTTATCTCATGTCGATCAACGACGCATATCTCGCACAATTGTATTCATAAAATGTAAACTTAGATAAGAAATCAATATCTTGGAAGTCAATTTTAACATTTTTTTGTTATCCCAATAGACATGATAATGCATAAACAAACAAGGTCAAAAATTAGCAACAACATTTTTGTAATGTAAATCGAAATGTCGTAACTCACTAAGTAATCGCAAGGACTTGTACCTGAAAAACAAAAGGAACATATATAAATATTACCATACTAATAGAATGTTAATCAAGCTCGTCTTACATGCTGTTTTTAGGGTTCCGTACCTCGAAAGGAAAAAAACGAAACCCTTATTCACTTTGTTGTCCGTCCATCTGTTTGTCAAGACCATTTTTTTTATAAATAAACTTACAATATTAAAAATTATGTTTCAGGTCTTACAGAGAAGTATTACCATATTATATGAAGTCTGAAAGTGCAACACTCAAAGGCCAATCTAAATCCCCATGGCACGGCCGAGACGGAGAACTTACAGTTGAAGATGTTCCATTTAGGTAAAATATCAATTTCAAATTATATGAACCTACTAGCTGTCGACCGCGACTCCGTTAGCCTATGTGTTCTTCCAGGCTATGCTCTACATCTATGCCAAATTTCAGCGAGATACATGTAGTCATTCGGGAGATACCTTCAAACATACATCCATCTAAACTCTTATAATATTAGTAAGATTACTGCTCACATTAAAAGTAAATCAAATTACCTCATTTCAGATCAAAACTATCGAAAGCATTTTTGGACGGCGTGAAATATTTGGGCCATCGAATAGTCGATTACAACAGCCCAGACGGATTCGGATTTAACTACATTCAAGCGACGATAAACCGTGGAGTCAGGATGAGTAGCGCAAAAGCATTCCTGCACAAACATAAAAACCGAAAGAACCTACACATTCTGCCAAATAGTCGAGTAACAAAAGTTTTAATCGATCCTATAACAAAGACGGCATACGGCGTAGAATTTCAAAGAAATGGCCAAATCTATCAAATACGAGCAAAAAAAGAAGTTATTCTTTCGGCGGGCCCTATTGAATCTCCGCATTTGTTAATGCTCTCGGGCATTGGACCGAGAGCCCATTTAGAGTCCTTCGAGATACCCGTGATACAGGATTTACCTGTCGGTCAAACGCTCTACGACCATATATCATTTCCGTCTTTAGCGTACACACTTAACACAACAAGATTAACAATTGCATTAAGAAATGTTGCACTCGTTCAGACTGGTGTGCAATTGACACAATTCGGAGATGGCCCGATGACATCACTGGCTGGTGTCGAAACCATAGGATATTTAAAAACAAACGTCTCCGATGAGGTCGGTGATTACCCTGATATTGAATTAATAGGAACTTGCGCATCTATGGCAACTGACGAGGGACAGTTAGTATCGAAAGGCTCACGAATAGCGGACTGGTTGTACAATGACGTATATAAACCTTTGGAAAAAACTGAAAGCTTTACAATTTTAATGATGTTACTACATCCGAAATCTAAAGGCTACATGAAATTAAAATCGAAAAATCCTTTCGAGCAACCGGCGTTGTACGGCAATTACTTGCAGCATCCCAAAGACGTTGCTACACTAATAGCTTCTATAAGGTACATAAATAAATTGGTTGAAACACCTTCGTTTCAAAAGTACGGTGCGAAATTACACAAGAAAAAGTTTCCGAATTGCAAACAATATAAATTCGACAGCGACAAATATTGGGAATGTGCGGTACGTACTGTAACTTCGACATTGCATCATCAAATATCTACGTGCAGGATGGGCCCAGTAACAGATCCTGATGCAGTTGTGGACCCGGAATTGAGAGTGTATGGGGTTAGGAATCTTCGTGTAATAGATAGCAGTGTTATACCAAAGACAATCGCTGCGCACACTAACGCCCCCGCAATCATGATAGGCGAGAAAGGTGCGGACATGATAATGAATACATGGGGCTTGATTTAAATGTACCCATCAAGAATCTATGAGTATTTTCTCATAAAAATGGTCTTCAACACACGTGTTAATACGAAAGTGGGATTCGAATTGTAGTTTATTCACATGTTGGTTTTTATGTTGAATAGACCTGAAAATGGTAGAGAGACTGTCACTGATAAATAATATAAGAATTTATGGATCCTTTGACATTTAAATTAATTTTGGGGCCGTGTTAAAATACTAATTATAAATATTAAAGGTACAAATACAGACAATAGATCCATAAACAAACGTAACACTATCAGCTAGTTATTTTCCCTTTCGAAATGTAAACGACAATACATTTTAGTAGCTATTCTGTAACCTATTTTTACTTACAATTCTATCGCTAATGTATATCTTATCTTTATCTATATTTAAATGACGTCAATGGCCCCACAGCAGAAAGACGTAACCAAAGGCACAAATAGCTCATTTCTAATAAAAAAACGATAAATTTTCTGGCTTACGGATCATGGCATTATTAAATATTACAATTGAAACTCTTTTTTATTAAACTAGATGGTATTTACAGTCATAATTATTTATGTCGGTAATCGTAATTGCATAGGGAATCCCCTTTTAATAAGCGACATATTTAATTCCATCATTGTCAGTCTGAATTCATCCACTGCTGAACATACGTCTCCCTCCGTCGATTGCTATAATGTCCAGTCCTGTGCCATCTGCATCCAATACACTCCCGCTTGACCATAGTCCATCTGGCGAGAGGCCTACTATATATAATTCCGTCATAAATATGTTAGTTGCAAAAATAATTTAAGTTATGCAACTAATGACAATTCCGTTTATGATAAATACTTAGCCCTTATCAGGAATGTTTTGTACGTTATCTAAAATGGACTGAAGAATCCTATCAACGTGTCTTTATTTTAAAGTTACCAACTACAACTTAACAACATTATTAAATAAATTGTGCAATACCATTTTTTTTTTATTTATTCTAATAAGTTTTTATATTTAAGGTGCTAATATGAATTGCATTGATTATTTACATTTGGGCAATAAAATGTTTATCTCGTCTACATTATTCTATAACAGACAGAAGTTAAATATTTTTACTATAATTTACTAGAAGTCGAACGCATCATCTGGCGTTATTGTTCAATTTTACTAGTATATTTTATTGCAGATTCAAAATATGAGGGGTGAAATAAACAAAAGGATAAAATCAAAATGGCGGAATCAGGGGCTGTCCCCTAACCCTTGGTATACATAGCTATAATCGATTTTTTTAAACCTATCTGACTAAACTTTTATTGTAGACTAGCTGTCGCCAGAGACTCCGTCCGCGTGAAATTAAAAATAATAATTAATAGCATATGTGTTCTTTCAGACTATGTGCTATATGTATGACAAATTTCATCAAGATCTGTTCAGTCGTTGTGCAGATACCTTTAAACAAACATCCATCCATCTAAACTTTCGAATTTATAATATTAGTAAAATTGTTAGCATTCATACGATAGTGTGTCGTCTATTAATAGATTTTAAATCAATATCTTTAAATGAGCAATTCTTGCTCATTTAAAGATATTGAGATATATATATATATATAATTGGAATCTCGGAATCGGCTCCAACGATTTTCATAAAATGTAGTATATAGGGGGTTTCGGGGGCGATAAATCGATATAGCTAGGAATCATTTTTAGAAAATGTCATTTTATTCGTGTTTTATCGATAATCAACTTAAACATAAACTTAACTTTTTCTATCGGTAAGATCGAAAAATATTATTCATATTTCATCGTTTTATTTGTAATTCGTACTTAAATATACTTTCCAAAAAACACAATTAAAAAAAATACCGAACAAAGTTCGGTCATTACTAGATTTTAAATCAGTACGTGACTATTGTTTAACCAATGTTATAATGAATGCTATCGTTATAAACATGTGGCTGAAACTACGATGACATGTAAAATTATTATCTATGATCATATAAAGACATCGATAACACGTTCTACGTAGTACATATTATCGACCTATGCATAAAGAGATACTTTTCGGACTCTATTCTCTAATTTTAATGAAATACCTATATCTTAATTCGTTGTAATAGTACTGGAATTAGATTTCTTCATCTCAAACACTTAATAACCTCGAAGTGGTGTTCGATACTGTTCTGTTTAAACTGAAAATCAACCGCATATAAAAGATTATTCTCGATTTAGTTTCAAAGAAACCGCAGTACAGCTAAAAATATCATGTTTCCAGAATCAAATGCAACATTATCTTGTAATCAAGTATGTGGGCGAGACCGCAGGTCAAAAGTAGTTTATATGACAGCGCCAATTTAAGCACGAGGAAGTTCCAATTAAAATCAACTTAAAGTATTAAGAACACGTCGCCAAAAAAGTACTCGTATGTCTCAAAATACTGGTACAAACCGGTACCAGAATTCGACTGCGGTTTTTGTCGACTTGATTCCAGTTTCAAATATTGCTTTTACTGAGAAATATTATCATTTTCTTAATAAACTCTGTTCTAATATAACCCGAATCCAAGTCAGCGTTTAGAAGGCGTGCTATCAAGAATAGTAGCGGCTCTTATTGTGGGATCCAAAGCCCAATTCGGTATGCTGCACTAGTTATGCCATTTAGATGCTGGGGCGCCTATATAAGTACGACATTTTTACATTGCAATTTAGGAATATGACGTGGTGATACATTTTGGGTGAAAGAATCAACGACGCACAAAACACCAATCTTCCTCGCCTCGATCTTTCGTCATCAATATTGATTATGGAATAACATTAATTGTTACCAGTTTCCACTAACCACGACTTCTACGGAAACCTTCAAGAGTACACATTCTTTATTTCATGTTCAAACTATACGAATTAGTATGCCGTCTATTTCAAGCTGAAAAACATATTGTCATGTCTCTCATACTGCTTAAAACAAATGAAAAAAAAATGTTTTGTTTCATTGGATATGTTATAGTCAGACATAGTACCCATCAATCGTACGCTATACTCGTAAATACATAGTACTATGGTATGTTTTGTAATGTATTATAGACTGACTCATAAATGCTATGTCCAATTTAAATTGAATAAACTTCAGATGTTTTATAATAATTAACAAACATTCAATTTTTTTTTTACATTTTATACTCGCGTTCATTTTTCATTGAACAATGAACTTCGTAAACTCGTGAATACCTACTCATAGAATAATCTATAAACATACGTTCGTTCTCTAATGTACCACGATGTGACCTTCGGCAGTATAATGGGCGCTTGTATTGACATTGAAAAAAAGTAGTAATTAAACCACATTACGTAGACTGGGCGCTGGCCCTATATAAACGTTCAATTTACTAATTGTTACTTAAATTAATACATAAACAAAATGCGTAGAACCAAAATAGTTTTACCTAAACAAATGAGATGATAAAAATTTCAAAGTAAACATTGAAATATGTCTTCATTATCAACAAATAATGTTTACGTTAATTACAATTCAACCGGTTCACAGCATAAAATCTCTATTGTCAACAACTACACAATTAATTTTTGGTTTCCGAGACCAAAATCCCTGTATAAAACATATCGTCATCCCCTATCATTATCTTTGACAAAACAGAGATAACAATATAGTTTAAACGGTCATCTTAGTCTCAGAAACCAACGCATTATTCAGGTTATCATAAGGAAAACACCGTAAATTACCTGAGACAATAAGCGCCTCATTTGGCCCAACAGTGTGAATATTGCCCATTTTTCTCCACAAGATACACCAATCACTTAACAAACACTGTATCAAATATCAATAACAACAATACGCGACGATAATTATTTAAAATCTCGACTTCGATAGTTTGTAAACGGATTTATTTACACAATCACTAAAAAATAGTAGCGTAATAAAGCTATAGTAGGTTTTGTAGTTGTCAGATTGATTGTCAAAAAATTTCATTCAAAACTCATGCGCGCGCATCCCACGTCAGACATATTTGTACGTAGGTACTAAATCTCCGCATACATAATAATTTAGTTAGAATTCCAAATGAGATAATATCTTTGACAATTGTCTTTTACTACCTTAGAACTATTGTAAGAAATATCCAATAAATATTGAATAATCGCAATCCTCATTTACCATGTAAGAAATATTTTCATGATTCATATATTGGTTCATTCTTCTGTATTGTTGTCATTTTGATTTTGACATTTGATTTTAGTTTATAGTTTGCGCAACTCAAAGATTATGTATTATCGAAGGTAGTGCAAAATGTTCAAAAATATATTTTCTTTTGACCTTTTCAAAATTTACATAACCTTTACCTTTTGATTAAGTACATAGAATGAATTAGCCTTCAAATTTTGTACAGTGGTTTGAATGTATTTAGTGAATTGACGAAAAGTACTGATCCCACAAGCAAAATCTTGGAAACAGTGAAAAAAATTTGACTCTACTCTATGGTACATACAAGTTATGATTGTTTGTGAAGTGTGAAGTATTTTGTGATTTTTAACGCTAATGCTATTATAAACGACTGTTCTTAAACACTAAGAAAGATTCAAGTCTTCGTAAGTATAATAATACAAAACAACAGTTCATTTTTAATAAAAAACAATACACGTTAACTCTTCCTCCAAACGAATTGACGGTATGCAACAACGACCACGAAGCCTATTGACCACCTTATACCCTCTAAGATTAAACGTTTTTATTTGAATTGCAGCTGTAAGTAAACTAAATATACAAAAAATGTCTGATACAAGTGACCTGGACCGTCAAATAGAACAATTGAAAAGATGCGAAATAATAATGGAGGCGGAGGTTAAAGCACTTTGTGCGAAAGCCCGCGAGATTCTTGTGGAAGAAAGTAACGTGCAACGAGTAGACTCACCAGTTACGGTAAATTATAACCACAACAATATTGAGATTACATATATATCAACTTTTTTAATAGTTTTTGTATGAAACAGTAATCCTCCTACTTTTACATACACTTAAAGCAACATGTTTTAAATTTTAAAATATCATCGATAATATAGTCGATAATTTCGACTGGATTTTACTCTATCACAATGGAATCAACATACATGTAAACCCACATACATGCCTATGAAAAGAAATACATTGGTGTCTTGTAAGTTGGGAAATAATTTGAATATGCTGTATTATAACAAGTGCTATAATTTTTTTATTAATAAAACTTTCAGCTTGACCAATTTAGAAACCTGTATTTCATTTACAGGTTTGTGGTGACATTCATGGACAATTTTATGACCTTAAAGAGTTATTTAAAGTAGGTGGTGATGTTCCGGAAACTAATTATCTGTTTATGGGTGATTTTGTTGACAGAGGCTTTTATTCAGTAGAAACTTTCTTACTATTACTTGCGTTGAAGGTAAATATTGTCATATATATAATGTTCATAAGCGAAATGTTACACTAGCGACAGCTAGGGCGACTGCTCACAACTAGATCTGTGCGGAATTAAAAAAAATAGCATATATGTGCCAAATTTTATAGAGACTCATTCAGCCATTATGAAGATACCTTGAAACAAACATCCATCAATCATTCCATCTACACATTTGCACTTATAATAGTTCTGTTGTATGATATGTTACTAAGACTAATTGGTAGTATAACAAATTCTATCATTGCAGGTCCGTTATCCAGATCGTATCACACTTATCCGTGGCAACCATGAATCACGTCAGATTACACAAGTTTACGGATTCTATGATGAGTGTTTAAGGAAATATGGTTCAATTACTGTGTGGAGGTAATTAAGATTTAATGTGTATAATACAGTTGAGCCTGGATAAGCAAGAAATTTATAAGCGAGTCATTATTTGGTCATAATGGACTAAGAGAATCTTGGATTAGAGAAATGTCTACAAGTAAAAAAAAATTGTGGTCCCTTGAAGCTTACCCAGGTTCAACTGTGATATGTAACTAACAGGTCCAACAAAAAAATAATATTTGCTTTTTGGAGCTGGAAATAACAAAGAGATTTTGAGTACATGAAAAATATTACGGAGAAGTGAGAATAATACTTTTATTAGTAGTTTGAATTTGTTAAAGCCTAATGAGGATTTATACAGAACATTGGAGTGTGCCTTTCACAAAATTGTTTTGTGTAGATTATATTGCAATTTTCAAAGCATATTTGAGGGTTATGAAAAGAAACAGCTAAATCCAACAACATCATGTTTAGTTATATTCAAAACCAATGATAAGCATGAGCTGATGATATCGATTTTTGAAGTGAATTTACTACAGATTTAGCTGAATATTTTTTTGTACAATGAAAAAACTAAGCATATCCAAGTAACTAGATAGCATCATAGTTGACTCTTATGACATAGAATATAGCTGCCAAAGTTGTAGACCACTTTTATTATACATATATGTTATTACAAGTTTATTGTATTTTAAAGGTACTGCACAGAAATCTTCGATTATTTATCTCTATCGGCTATAATTGATGGACGGATATTCTGTGTGCACGGTGGCCTGAGTCCGTCTATACAGACACTGGATCAAATACGTACGATTGATCGTAAACAAGAAGTACCTCATGATGGACCAATGTGTGATTTATTGTGGAGCGATCCTGAAGGTATTGAATATGCCGAAACTGTCATTCTTTTTGAATAATATATAGATGCCTATATGTTTTTTTCATTGTATAAGGCAGTGGAAACTCACAGTAATGTTATAGTTTTAAATATATCTAACAATGGTAGTTGCCAGCAGTAATAATATTTGTTGCACGAATTGCTTGGCTTACCCAGTGAAACATCGCCACACAGAAGACAGATGTGAAGTGAAAGCATTCCACATACAGTCTGATGAGTGTGCATGCCGGCGGCCACATTTTTGTACCCTTTCCTTTTCCGCCCTGTTCTTATAAAGAAAGTATGGGAAGGAGAACTGGATTTGACAGAGGAAGGGTCGCAAAGAATGTGGAAATATCCTCTTTCTATGAGTCCCCTCCTCCGTCGATTAATGCACCTGCAATTAGGGATGTCTATGGTTTCAGGTGGCTGTTGGCTCCTTTGCCACCTTTTAATAAAAAAAAATATTCCAGTTCCTCTGTTTGTCTATACAAAACTTTTTTTTTGGATTTGAATAAAATGTGTGGTACAATTCCAGATACTCAAGGCTGGGGTGTATCTCCGCGTGGTGCGGGCTACCTGTTTGGATCTGATGTGGTGGCGCAGTTCAATGTGTCCAATGATATTGACATGATATGTCGCGCGCACCAGCTTGTTATGGAAGGATACAAGTGGCATTTCAATGAGACAGTACTCACTGTCTGGTCCGCACCAAACTATTGCTACAGGTTAGTAAGAGTGTTTGACAAATTATTTGATAGACTTTTGGCAAACTTTAGCTTTGTTGGCTCAACTTTGCCGAACTAAGTTATTGTTCACTAGATGCTTTAATACTTCTTTTATTAACAATGAACGGAATAAAAAAAACAATTAACTTCTGTATATGTTTGGAAATTTACAAATTCTAACATGAAATATGACATCCCTTTGTAATTTAGTAAAATTAAGGGATTCATGTTGATTTTTTTTATTTTACAATAATATACTTTTTTAAAATGATTATTAACCCCTATTAAGCATTTATTTCATGAAAAATTCCTATATATCACATATTCATTCATCCCCTTTATAATTCATGCATTTAATTAGCTATAACACATTCAGTGCCGACTGCAATTTACTTAACCATGAAATTAATATAACTGAAAATGTTAAAACCCATTAATATCATCAGATGTGGCAATGTAGCGGCCATCTTGGAACTGAATGAAAACCTTCAACGTGAGTTCACAATATTCGAAGCAGCACCGCAGGAATCACGAGGTGTACCATCAAAGAAACCCCAGGCTGATTACTTTTTATAATAACGGACGTCCGGATATAGCGACGTAGTGATAAAACAATTTATGTGTTTAGTGTCTCAGTGTCTCATTTCTAAGACCAATGTGAATGCTTTCTGTGTGATTTGAATAGTGTTTTTTATATACATATGAAGGATTTCATTACTGTAAGTATGATTTTTTTTAATATATCTATACTAATATTATAAAGCGGACGAGTTTGTTTGTTTATACATACAAATCTCAGGAAATACTGGTCTGATTTGAAGAATTCTTTTATTGTTGGATAGTCCATTTATAGAGGAAAGCTTTAGGCTATATAATGCTGCGACCAATAGTTTTTGTTTAATTCCGCGCGGACGGAGTCGCGGGCGACAGCTAGTTTATAATAAAAACTTAACACTAAGCTTAATTCATATGTAATGTGCCGGTTTCATTTAAACTTAACTGTTCAACCGTTGAATTAGCCATAGTTAAATAATTTTTAGGGTTCCGTACCTTGTGTAAATGGAACCCTTATAGGATCACTTTGTTGTCCATCAAGACCCTTTTTAATTATGAATCTCTTTATGCACTTCTGCACGTTGACTTTAACTGTTTCAAATTTTACTTTCATTCCTTCGCGCTTCCTAGTAATAAATATAGTCTATACCTGGGTATAAAGTAGCTTTCCAACAGGACAAGAATTTTTTAAATTTGTTCAATAATTTTGGAACCTGCAAACAATCAAATCTTTCCTATTTATAATACAAGCAGTCGCCCGTATATCCGTCCGCGCGGAATTAAAAAAACTATTGGTCGCAACGTAATTTTATATAGCCTAAAGCCTTCCTCTATAAATGGACTATCCAACAAAAAAAAATTCAAATTGGACCAGTAGGTTCCTGAGATTAGCTCGTTTAAACAAACTCTTCCACTTTATTAGTATAGATTGGATAAGGAAGATGCCGAAATGATATAAAAATGTACTTACAATATGAAATATTACTATGTTTATAAAAATACATTATTTAAATAAGTTTTATCATTTTTTTTTTAAATAGCTATACAATTGAAATCTTATTCTTTTATGCTCCTTGTATTGTTGTAATGTTCAAAACTTACTATGAACATTTTCTTAATTCACTATTTGTTAGGATAAAGAATTCAACAGCAGTGACGATTATCCAATCTGAATAAACGAGAATTCAATAAGAATGCGATATTTTTCTTTCTTACCGTAGGTTTCTGAGAGCAGAATCTCCGTTAAAAACATATCATCTATGTTTTTTCAAAGATAATGACAGGGATATATTTAACCCACAGTTGGCAAGGTTTCTATGTAATCTAACCGTTGGTTTCTGAGACCAATTTCTCTGAATAAAATATATTGTCATCCCTGTCTTTATCTTTGACAAAACAGAGATACTAATATGTTTTGAAAGGAGATTTTGGTGTCAGAAACCCCACGGTAAGTGTCGTTGCAGTTGAGTTCTAATTACAGTTGCACGTTTACAAATGTAGTGTATAGTTCAAGGCATTTAAGTAGAACCATTTTAAGCTCCTTTTCCACTAATTGACGTGCGTTAACTTGTATCCGTACCAGTGAAAATGGTATGTAATTAAAGCCGATTGTAACATGGAAGGGACCGCAATATTCTATAATACTAAATGATAGATAATTGTAAAACGAATGTTCGTTGACGCTACAAGTAATATCGTTTTAAAAATTAACTTTTAAACAATACTACTAGTGAGTTTCTAAGGACAAAATCTTCGTTTAAATCATATTGTCATGTCTGTTTTGTGAAAAATAACAGGAATAACGATATGTTTTATACAGTTTTTGGTCTTAGAAACCAACTTTATTTTATTGTTTATATAGACTTTGTTATTACTAAATATTGTCGGTCCTTTTGATGTTTTTGTAACCGGTTTGTACTTATTTTGTTAATCAATTTATGGAAAATATGTATTGGGTTCTACTTTGATGTCTAGTTTTGTTTTTTCAATGTCATTAAAATAATTGTATATTATATTCCATAATTAGTATAAGTAAAGTTATCAGGATATGAAACAATTCACTGCCAATGTTAGAGATTACATTTTGTTGATTTTGAATGTGACACTTGTATTGACATCCCTTTCTTTATCTTTGATAAAAGAGAGACAACGATATATATACAAGTGTCACTCGTAACATATTACTTGATCTGATAGATATATAGAGGTCACTGACTTGATGAATGGACAGGCTATAAGATTATTATTTTGTGCCTATTTGATTTTCGACATTTTGGTGGTGTGGATTGGAACTACAATATCAAAAGGAGGATTAGACAAAGTGCATTCGATTCGAAGCGATTCTATAGCGACAAAAATGTATAGGACAGACAGTAACTTTAGAAAAATCACGTGATTGTTGCGTCTTAGTACCATACATTTTTAAAATTCGTTATGGAATCACTTCAGAGTGAATGCACTTTATTTAGTTCCGCAGGGGTTTTTAAATCGGAACGAAGCAAATGCTGTTATTTCCAAGCAATCGCCTATCCATTTATAGAAATCAGTGCAGGAGGTGCTTTGAAATGTTTCAATAATTGGTTAATTTTGATAAATGCACTACAGCCATCTCTTTAAATAAAAAAGTCAGTGTCAAGATGACTTTTTGTTACTCTCAGAAACCTGTGGTCAATGTATAATAAGTGATAAAGTTATGAACCAGTAAGCATAGACAAATTAAATTATGACAGCTCACTAGCGCCTCCCTGACAATGTCAAAAGTGTCAAGATCCTTTTATTGCAGCCGTCTTGCATTTTCTGTGGTAGATTTTAAATAGTGACAGAAATAACTCTGCTAAACCCATTACTGGATCATATAATATTGTCTGACTAATCGTTGATTTCTGAGACCAAAATCCATGTATAAAACATATCGTTATCTCTGTCATTATCTTTGACAAAAAAAGATAGCAATATGTTTTACACACGGTTTTAGTGCTCAGAAACCGACGATATTAGGTTTCTCACAAAAAATCAACACTGGAGATTACTTTAGTGACCATAAGAGAGTGGATACTTCATGAATTAAAAATTAATTGAGGATAAGCTTATTGGCTATAAAAATAATTCAGGTACAAAATAGAAATAAAGTTAGTCTACTATTACTATATGTAAAATATGCGTCATTGTTACTAACCTATTGAAAACTTCGTCAGTTTATAATAAGACTAGATTTACTACATTGAAAACAAAATGCATCTCACAAATATCACTGCAACAGTTTTGGGTTTATGTCAAAGACAAACTACTTTCTTTTTACTTATTCACAGTCGTGTTTTCTCTTGGGTATGTAAATATGTTAAAATTGCTATTTTCTGTAATCTTGGTAGTCGAAAATTCTATACCTTTTTATCTTTAGAGAGAAAAAAAATCATTTTCCACAAATCGTAAAGATAAAGTTAGGACTTGTAATGATTTTTTACCAATAATATTTTTTTAACGTAAAATATGCATTTTAGTTTACTTTGTATTAAAACCAGAGATAGTCTTATTATTGTTAGGAAGAAAATCCGACACTATGCCGGTGTACTGGCACAACACTAGCGTTACTAAAATGTCGACGTTTATGTCCCCTCACTAATCATTCTGACACTTGACTTTGTAATGAAAGCGCGCCATTCGCGATTAGGATTCCAACTAATAATGTCTAAAATTATAAACTAACGAAATTTCAAATTGGATAGTGACTAATGAAACGAAATGGAAAAATTAAATAAATAAATTAAAGTTCTTAAGAAAGCTTTCAAATAGGAATAATGTAATTATATGAACTTGGTATTGTGAATGTGGTTAGATTAATCACTAATAGCTTAAATTAAACTTAATTAAATGATTTCTGTTTAGTATCAAGCATTATCTTAGATATTTAACTTATCTTTTAAATCAATTGTTCCTTAACTGTACGTTTTCACTGCCGAAACATGGGGGGTTAGACAAAATCCATTCCATAGCTATATTCAAAAATGTATAGAACTGACATACCTTTCGGTAAGTTACGTGATTGTCGCGCGTCAGTTCTATATAATTTTGAAGTTCGCTATGATATCGCTTCGAAGCCATGTGTACAAAATACTGTATATTCTTTCACGTGCGAGTGTTTCGGTAGTGAAATCTTAAGGTTATCTTTAAATTAGAAAAACACGAGGTCAGGCATGTTTTTAGACATAAAATTTACTTGCATATTTCAATATTATTAATAAGGTAATTGGCACTAAATATTTAGGTTACTTTTGACGAAAACTAGACATTTTAATTGATTAACTGCCTTAAATCTCGATACTTGACTATTAAATTTCATGTAAATTTTGATCTCAGATTTCTAAACGTACTGCCGCAGTCTTCATGAAATTAGGATATTTTATCTTACTATTTAATCTGATTACAAGTGTACAAAAACAAGTATGGAAGAAGTGTCGTCATCTGACTCGTGTCTCATGTTATCGTGCCTGTGTAGTACCTATATTTAATTTATTAACAAGTATTTGAGTTTGAACAAACTGTTTATTACCTCAATATATACGGCTCAAGGAATGTCTGTGCAGTTTGATTTGTAATGTTAATTTTTGTAATGATACATTTTGGTACGAAATAAAAAAAAAACTAAAGACCATTTTATAGCATATTTTATTTTTTAACTAACACGATACCACTTAAAATATTATTCAACAGAGGTAGATCACATAATTAGACTTTTTTTTTAATTTGCTAAAAAAAGATTAAAGTTTTTTTAAAGTTGACATCATATTGTGTTATGTAAATCCATCAAAATATCACTACATTTAGTGGATATTTTTATATCAACAATGTTGTCCGCTCTAGTTGGTCCTATATTCAAAATGGCCACTTCTTTCTTTTCCTCTTTAGCTTGTAATATAATTCTATAACTCGAATACACTGTTAGACTTGAACCTAATACAAATATTGCATCACTTTCACTTACTTCGTTCCTGACCTTTTCTACTCTTTCTTTTGGTACATTGTCACCAAAGAATACTATATCCGGTTTCAAAGGACCTTGGCAATTCGGACACAGTGGTACTCGGAATTTTTCAATTTGTTCCTGAAAAAAACATAGTCTTAAGATGTGACAAATGAGATATAAAGAAAGCTAAGGATTGTACAAAGGGTTCATTTCTTTTACTACGATTTGATGAGTGAGCGGGCTGCATAAGCGAAGTAGTACCGGTCTCACTGACCCTGATGAAAGGCCCTCACTGTGCTCGGACACCGGACAAATATACGTAAGTATTTGGCTGTTTACAAATTAATTTAAAGACTCGCATATTTTAGACATAACATGGAAGTTTTTCGGTTTCCACACACTTTCAGAACAACAAATTACAGTATAATCTCACTAATCAATATTAACATAAGTGCCGGATTATTGGAATGTTTGGATTACTGGATTATTAATAAAAAGTTAAAAGGTAATAAAACAAAGCATTTCACAGACGGAATAAATGTATGTAATGGTACATATCTAATTAACTAGTATTAAAATAATCCATAAATGAGTTCTGCTTTTGTGTGAATTGTAGTCCTTGTTTAAAAACCTTTTCTCGCATGTTACGCAGAATTATGATATCCTTGGCAGATATGCCGTTTTCTTCTGCCCATGTTATGCAGGTGTTGAAAGAAAACAATGCATCATCTGGTCTAACTTTTACAGTAGTTGGTGACGCCAATATTTCATCAATGCTTTCTTCTTTTACTGTTTCCCATAAAATTTCTTCATCTGTCATAATTTGCTCTCTCTCTTCGATTCCTTCAAACCAAAAAATTAAATTTTCTTCACTTGTCTCAAATCCTTTATCTGATAGAATTTGTAACCATTCGGCAACAGGCACATTATCTTCGGGATCCCATTCATCTGTTTCTTCTTTTTTTATTGATACATAATTCATTGTAGGCCATAACTTTTTCCATGAAGATTGGATTAAGTTAAATGAAACAGAATCCCAAGCATGAGCGAGAAAGAATACGACATCTTTCAAATTCAATCCTTGAAGACTCTGCGTTATATCGCCATACTGAGATATAATATGGATCAGCAATTTGTTTTTATACAAATATTTTATTTTTTGGATAACATTTTGATCCACCGGGTGCAGTAAAGGTTTGCAGTTTAGTGGTAAAAAGATAGTTTGGATATTCCCATCACTTGATTTAAGTTCTTGTTCATTTGGGTGGCGTGGATCATCGGCAATTACTAGTAAAGCTTTTATGGGCAAGTTGGATCTTTTCATAAACTTTTCGACTTCTGGGACAAAGTCTTCATGAAACCATTCGTTAAATATCTCTCTCGTGACCCAACTTCTAATTTGGTTCTTGTAGCAGACTGGCAGACAAATGTTCTTGAAAGCTCTGGGAGTTTTTTCTTCGCCAATTACTAACAAATCCAATTTGTGCGTTCCAGTTGCATTTGAACACGGCATGAATGTGATTCTATCTTTACTCACTTGATCTGCACTTGCTTCTTTAGCTTTATTGGGCAACAACCTCCAGAACAGACCACTCTCGTCTGCGTTATAAATTTGGTCAGGAAGAAGACCCAGTTCTTCTACTTTGTTTTTAAAATGTTGGATAAATGACTGTACAGCAGATTCGTTGCTTGATATCTCACTCGATATGGTTAATAGACGGATACCAAATCGCTTTTTAAATTTATCCAACCATCCGTCGCTGGCACGAAAATCATCTTTGTTGGTAATTTTTTTATAAAATTCGATTGCTTTGGCTTTTAGAATTTCTCCAGATATAGGAGTGTGTTTAGAACGCTGTTGTATGTACCACATGTAAAGAGCGCTTTCCATCTTTGGACAACCGCCAACTTTTAATGTTTTACGCTGTCCTGGCCCCGATTCCATTGCGTTGACGCGGTCTTCTATCTTTTGCCTTTTTTTCTTAAGATCGTGTATAGTAGCACGCCCAACGCCATATTCTTTTGCCAATTTGCATATATTTTGTCCACTATCTAACTTCTTTAAAATCTCCATTTTATAATTCAAATCTAGTGTCTTATGTTTGCGTTTATTTGACATTTTAAACTATAAACTATTGTCACTTAAAATTACGTTTTGAGGTTAGACTGCTAGTCGATGACGCAACGACCGAAGCGCACAGGTATAGAGAGGCGAATGAGGTGTGGGACGGCGGATTATTGGACGTGCCGATTTATCGAAGTATCGGATTAGTGAGATTATACTCTATGTGTCTTTGTTTATCTTTGATCGTTATCTATGTTTATATTAGTGTTGTGTCAATGTAAATCATTGGAATAATAAAAGAGAAATGACAACAAAAAAAGGTAGAATCACTTGAAGATTCAACACTGGTCACTTATTAATTTTGCAAAAAACAAATGTCAAGTCTCCTTAAATTCTTCTTCCTAACCTTATCCCACTCATGTGGTGTTGGCGCAGGTTTTATAAACCTCAAGGCTTTTACTTATATTCTTACGGCCGGCCGCCTGCTCCACTCGGGAGTTATATAAAATACAATCTATACATATAAATAAAATTGTAGTGTCTGAAATATTCGTTTTACATATTTTTTTTACTATTTTTGTCTGTCTTTTTCTTTCATCTAGTCTCGGAATTGGCTGGACCGATTTTGACGAGACTTTTATTTACAGGTCGCTGATGTAATAAGAAGTTGCTTAAGTTATGTTTATTTTAGAAAAATTCTTTTATTTTAGTCAAATAAAGTAATGTTGCAATGTCCAAGTACTTTCCAGTACTATGCGCAGCTCAAAGATTGTACACGGACAGTCGCGGGCATGGCTAGCATTAACTAACTTCCTAAAAATACACCAACAATGACTTAAAACTTCAATTACAAATATTAAATTATAATCATTATTTCTACTTACTCTAGACAATTCAACATCTCCATCGGGCCTGATCATCGTAACACTATTCTCCATATCCGGATTTTGTTGCATCATTGTCTGTTGCAGCTCATATCTGTCCACTTCATAACTACATTGTAAGCATTTCACTATATAACCAGTACCATGAAGCTCAATAATATTCTCCGAACCCGCCTTGTGATGTAGACGATCAACATTTTGTGTCACTATTGCACTTACTTTATTGATCTACAAAAATGTTTGTGGTAAAATAAATTCACACTCAATCAATGATATTTTTTTTGTTTATATAAAACCATCTTAATTTTTTTATACAGTGACTATTTACTTATTGATATAAGTTTACATAACAGCTAAAATTACCACACAATTACAAAGAAAAAAATTAAATATACACAAGGCAAAAGTTGTCTTCTAAACCATGGTCTACTTTTATGCCAAATTGCAGGGAGATCCATACAGCCGTTCTGATGATACCTTCTAACCAACATCTATGTAAACTTTCACATTCATAATATTAGTTAGAAATAAGATTTAAATATTTGATATGTTCTGTGCAAAATATTGGTACAGTTCAGATGATTATTGTAAATTTAAAGAAAATATATACCTTTTCTAATTCTCTAATAGCATAATGTGTAGCATTCGGCTGTACTGCACTAAACCTTGGCCACCCTATAAAGTTTCTGGCCCAGTACCTCTGTCTTACTTTAGGATATTTCACAAACTCTTGATACTGTACTGGTTTGTGATTACTTCGTGCGTATAACCCTACTTCTTCAGATCTGTAGTCAGGTATTCCTAGAAGTAAATTTATTGTACTGTGTAACTGAAGTTGAATGTTTTCTTTTTCATATGGAAGTATTTATTCATGAATTAGATGAGTTGGTAGTATTGAATGTGTTAATGAATGTAAGTTAGTCCAGTTTTTCTCACACTTTTTACGACTTTCAATACTATTTTAAATTATTTTCTAAAAGAAATACTTCGAGGTTCTAAAATATTATCTTTAAATATTCAGTGCTAATAGTGTTTAATAGTGTAAGATAGTTATTATTAAAGTATTAGTGTTTATAATAAAATCTTATTACATGATTCATTATCCACCTACGAACCAGATTCTGTTGATATTCCAGCGCCAGTGAGTATTAGAATTTTCTTATGGCGGCTTACAAAATACCTTATTGTTTCAAAATCTTTTTCAGCTGGTGGTTTGTACGCAGGTACAAATGCTGTATGCCTTATAAGCATTTTAAATGCACTAATTTGTTTTAGCATGACTAATATTTTACTCTCCGAAGGACCAAATTTTACTACTGTCTCTTTACACTTTCCAATATTTACATATAAAACTATCTAAATTTTTTCATTTTCAATTTTCATTTAATTATTATTTACAACGCAGTTTCATATGTTATATTGCACTATAAATCTTTTGAACACAAGTGACATTGACGTTTGATAATCGTAGTCTATGGATTCCGAAATGACAGCAAATCCCAAAAAGTAAATAAAATCCTTTGCTTTTTTTTTTTACACGGAACGCAACATAAAGTCATTTTTCAAAGTTGTATTTTCCAATAAATTATATATTGTTTGCTATAAGTAAAGTTTAATAATAAGATTTTACTATCATTTTATGGTGAGCACGGGTTTATAAACGTATTAATGTTTGATTCGACGACAACGCTTTGACAATGATTGACATATAATATAACCTCAAAAACAAAGTTTAAAATTTTGATGTTCTAGGGTTAATAATATATTTGTCTCGAGATTGAGGTGTTGAATTCAATATGACATTATTGAAATTACGGTCGGCACCAATGGTCCTGATTGAAGATGATTACAACATCAATATTTTACCTCTATTAATGAGTTTAGTAGGAGACAAACTAAAAATGAACTTATTTTCCTATGAACAATCTATAAAACTATGGGAAAAAGTATTTCAAAACCAAACCGTCGAGTATCACCAAGAATTTGATCCAGAAAGTTTTAATGAATATATAAAACAACCTTGTCATATTTTCATAGATTCAGTTAATCAAATGGCCATGCAAATGGGTTGGCACAAATGTTTGACATACATAAGAAAACTAAAAAGTCACGAAAATGTTGTTAAACTAATCCTGGTACTGCATAAAGATTGTTTACAAATGCATTCAAAATTACAAAAGCATTTAATGCACTTGGCACATGCAACTATTACATACAGCGAACATAACCCACTTCAAATAGCTGTACAAATAAAATTAGGCAATAAGTTTGTAAAAACAGAGGAACTATTGTCCTATGATAATATTACATCCATATTAAAATGTGAGAGGGTAACAAAAGAGGTGATAAAAGATGAAGAGCCAGCTAAACCAAATCCGGGTAATCTTTCAACATTTAAAATAGAAGTGGATCAAACACAACAATTGGAGAAGCATAATCTGAAGTTACCTTATATGAGTAAAATAAACGAGGGCCAGAGTAAAGTTTATTATGAACCAGATGCAGTTGATGATTGGGACGAGGAAGACCCAGATGAAGATCTTGATATATAATTAAGTAAATCACTATTTTTGCAATATATTATTTAAAAAAAATGTTTTTCTTTGACCTTCATGCTCACTTCACTGCTATAGGCACACTATTTCGATGAATGATAATCCCATTCCAACATTCTGTGGCATTTGTTGTCATACACCTTTTTTCACATATACATAAGATCTCCTTCAACTTATTGATATAATTTACCCACAAATTAAGTTGCAATGTTTAGTCATAATTGTCCCAGGTTTAAAGACACCCATGATACTACTTTGACGATAATAAAGGTATATTAACACTGCTGTCGCCCGCGACTCCGTCTGCACGCAGCTTTGAAAAAAAAAACTCAAAAGTAGTCCGTGTTCTGTCAGCTTATGTTGTACAAGTGTGCCATATTTCATCAAATTCCTTTGATCTATTCTGGTGATACCTTCAAACAAATAAACTTTCGCTTTTATAATATTAGTAAGGTTTTACTAGTTTGAGATTCAATGATGTAATCCTTATTCCTTCTACAGTACTACTTTATCTTTTGTATCCATCTTTTTTTTTAGTCTGTAAAGACTAGCTATGTGTAGTCTCTTCAGGCTGTTGCATAGATTTATGAGAAATGGTAAGGATTTTTTCATTTACATTAGGACATGGTAGACAAATTCTCGGTTACAAAGAGTTCACTTTTTATTAATTTTTCTATTATCCATTACAATTTTGCGATTTTTTTTCCACCGCCACGTTACTTATACATTTTATTACAATTAAACAATATTTCATTATTAATAAAGTAGATATACAAGTACGTGGAAGTTAAATTTATTAATGACACAATAATTACATCATCATATTCTCAACTCTTAAAAAGTATTCATTTATAAATCACTTAATCAATGTTTAATTTTTCACGACCTAAGGAACAAAATAAAAAAAAATATTTTATTACAACAGAGAATCTAACAGAGAACTCTTCGATAGCCACGAAGGTATTGTAGATAAATAATAATTATGTTTTCACCACATAGCATAAACGAAATGTAAATAAGTATTATATTTTGGAACGCAATAAAACCGAATCCGCTCAAAGCTGAATTGATAAAAGAACACTAGCATTTGACATCGAAAATTTCGACGTTCACTTGAAAAGCACTCAAGGAGAATATATCAAAGACACAATAAAGCTAACAAAATACAAATACGATAATCATTTACAACCTAACAAAGAGCCTTCAATACCGCGTGTGCGTGCGCGTGCGCTGCGTACTGGAGGTAGACGATGATTAGCGGGCGTCGGAACGAATCATATACACGAGGGGGTGAGGGGCGCGCGGTGCGAGGCGGACAGTCACCACTGGACAGAGTTACTCTCCCGCCAGCTCCTTGAGCCGCTCCTCTCGCGGCCGCGCGCCGCCGAATATCGAGGAGGCCTGGCTGGTGGAGGCCAGCGAGTTCACCGGCTCCTTCACCGTGCGCGGTTGCAGCTGCAGCTTTGGTCTGCCCGTCGTGTCTGCATCACAACACAAACATATTATATTAATGATGCGATATCTATGTATGTCTCTACATAATAATGCATTTGACAATAAAACCCCTTTTCCACGTGTATATGTTATTAATATAATATTTTAAAAATATGTCCATTATGTAAAGTCTGTGGATTTATCCATCACACAGGATGCCACCCTAGTTTAGACAGAAATCACCAGCTCAAAAAGGAATTAATTTTTTTTTATTTCAATCTTTCAAGTTATTTGTATTCACTGACCGGGTCTCGCGGGCGGCATGTCGTCGAACTGACGACGCGGTTTGGCGGGCGGGGGCGCTGCTGGTCCCCGGGCGCCCATGCG